AGTAGGGGGCCCCCACAAAGAAGGAAGATAGTTTTGATTTGATCTCAGTCATCAAGCTTTAGAAAATTTTTATCTGGATTTATTTGTTTCTACTAAAACCGATCTTAAAATTTCCCCTTTACTTTTCTTCATCCTTAAGACTGGCAGTCGGAAGAGCAAGGCCCCAGAGGACCACTTCCTCCAAGCATGTTGGGAGAGGATTCTGGGGACAAAGCATCAAGTGCAGTTTAAGAGGCCCTGGGCATTGATAACAAGCCTCTTCTCCCACTAGTGTGGTTTTCCTGGGGAAACCCCTTCCTTTGCAAGGTCAGATTCATTTTATCCGCTACAGGAAGCAGAGACAAGGGTAGAGCGCTGCTAAGATTCAGGTTGCATTGAGGGGGAGGAGGTAGGAGGAACTCTGAGAACCCTGGGGAGAGGCTTAAAGTCATCTGAGGAGGGGTTGGTTAGTATGTGTGCAATGATGGGGGATACCTGGCAAAGATCCTGGATAAATGTTTTGATCCTCATTCTCAAACAATTTCAAACAATTTCTTCATTAGCATTAGCATGATGTTAGACTCAGTGACCTGCCCAAGATCTGGAACTGACTGAGAAGCCCAGTCAAGCCTGAAGCCATTGTCTTCTCTTAGAATAATTCACTTAAGAGATCCCAACCCCTTCCTAGGCTAGTAGTATCCACTCATTCATGTCCTTGATTGAAGCACTCTCCTTAGCATATCACATTATAAGGTTTTTTTTTTTTAATAGTATCTGGTACAGTCCAAGCTATCTTTTAACTTTATTTATATGTATTTATTATTTATTCTTTATCACTCTGTGTGTATGTGGTGGTGGGAGGCATGCATCTGGATAGCAGAGGATGACTTTGTGGAGTCATTTGTCTTTACGTGGTTTCCAGGGATCAAACCCAGGTCTTCAGGCTTGTGTGGCAAGTGCCATCTTGTTAGCCCTTGTACAGACTTTTCTTTTTAGAATTTATTTTTACTTCCAGCTTCATACTGTGCTTGGGATCAAATCCAGAGGTTGGTGAATGTCAGGAACTAGTCTTGTAACTGTCTTAGGGTTTCTATTGCTTCGACAAAACACCATGGCCAAAAAGCAAGCTAGGGGATGAAAGGGTTTATTAGACTTAAACTTCAGCATTGGTGTTCATCACTAAAGAAAGTCAGGACAGGAACTCAAAGAAGACAGGATCCTAGAAGCAGGAGCTGATGCAGAGGCCATGTAGGGGTGTTGCTTACTGGCTTGCTTCTTCCTTCTTGCTTAGCCCACTTTCTTATAAAACCCAGGACCAGCGGCCCAGGGGTGGCACCACCCACCATGGGCTGGGCCCTACCCCATTGATCACTAAATGATAAAATGCCTTACAGCTGGGTCTCGTGGTGGCATTTCCTCCATGCCTCTGATGATTTTAGCTTGTGTCAAGTTGACACACAAAAACCAGCCAGTACACTGACATATCCTCAGTGACAAATTTTGTTTGTTTTTATTTTTCAATAGTTCAGTAGTTTTTTTGTTTTTGTTTTTGTTTTCTTAATAGCTTGGCTGGCCTGAAACTTGTTATGTAGACTGCACTGGCTTCCAAATTGTAGTCCAGCAGGAGAAGACAAAGTGATGGACTGGGTTCTCATTACTCTCTGCTGACTTTACTAACTCATGCTTTAAGGTCTTAACCTATCCATCCAAACTGAAAGCTGCTCAAGGGCAGTGCTTTTCTCTATGGTCAACATTGGCATGGAGGTAGAGAGCAGGAACAGCAAACTAAAATATGGCAGAGAGGGGAAGAATTTCTAAACTTGAAGGTTCCTGGTTTTCTCTAGTATAAAACAAGCGCTGGGCTAACCTTTACTATCCCATGGCCCCAAGGCATAGAAGAAGCTCTAGGAGTAGAGTCCCATGGCCAGGCCTGTGGCAACTGATGAAAGAAAAATGTTTCTTTTGACTCAGGAGGAGAAAGAGTCTGCAGAGACCCTCACAGTCTGTCTACTCTGAGTTTCTACCTACTGTACTGTACTTCAGTCCCCCCCCCAAAAGATCTGCAGATGGAAGAGATGATGAGCAAGAGCTGGGGGCAGGGGGAGTCTTGGCCCTAGGTGGGGAAGAATGAAAAGAGTATGCATATCTGAGGAGGGGACCTTTGTGTATGTGTGTGTTGGGATTTTCATGGCTGACAGGATCCCATTTCAACCTCTCCCTGCTCCCCACAGTTCACTCTACTTTTTTTTTTTTTTTTTTTTTTTTTTTAACAAAGATAGTGACTCATTTCCTACAATTGGTTCTTACCCTGCTGAGTCTTTATCACTCTATGTTAGAGTCTTAGTTTACCTCAAACCAGAAGCCTTCTCTACAACATGACCCCTTTCTAGATATTCTCAGGCACTCAATATCTGGAGGGGGGGGATTCTATTGCTGAGCATTTAATAAGTGGGTAGATTTTTCAAACCATCTGTAGTTTCTCTATGGTCCCTTGTGAAGTGTTGGAATTGACAGGCCAGGGTCTACATTCTGCCTCCCTAGCCAGATTTTAATTTTTTTAAGATTGATTTATTTTGACTTTATGAACATGAATGTTTTACTTACTTTATGTATGTGTACTACATATGTGCCTTGTGCCTGTCAATTCAGAAGAGGGTATCAGATCCCCTGGAAGTCACAGATGGTTGTGAGCCAGTGTGTCAGTGCAGGAACAGAATCCAGGTCCTGTGGAAGAACAGCTAGTGTTCTTAATCACTGCTTTATCTGTCCAGCTCCTCTGTCTTTACTTTAGCCTAATGGGCCAAGCCCCAGGTTCAGGTGATCATAACTGAGTGAGGGTAGACTGGGTGGGTGCACTTTCTCAATCTCAATTGTAAGTGGGTGTCTACAAATGGGGCTGAAGTTGCTGTAAGTTTAATGGGAATGAGGAAGTAAGCTGACCAAAATTTGGGGACCTTATAGGATAGTGGGATTATGTGAACTAGTTGGTAAACCTAGTTGGTAAACCTAGACAAAAGGTTGCAGAGCTGATATAGCATTTGTTCACCTAGTTTCATAGTTTTTAGGTTAGACTCTGAAATCAGGATATCTTATTGTGAAGTATTTTTCACCCACCTAATATATTAACTCCATCTGCATTTCTTGTTTGTTTGTTTGTTTTGAGACAGGATCTTATGTACCTCAAGCTGTCCTCAAACTTACTATGTAACACAGGATGACCTTGAGCTTCTGATTCTTTGCCTTCACCTTTCAAGTGCTGGGATTATAGGCAATTGCCACTAAGCCTGATTGCTTTCTGTTTTGCCACTTTTAATGTCTCCAGTCAAATGTTCCATATAGAATTGACTGTGTTAGTCTCCTACTTTAAACCCTGTGTGAATCCCTGCTGTCCTCAGGATAAAGTACAAGCATCAGTGACCTGTTGTACTCTGCCCTCCCTTCCAGAATCACCTTTGACTTCTGCCCACTGTTCCCTCTCTGGAGCTAACGTTGTTCATCTTTTGTCTGGCTCTCCAGTCCCTACTAGCCTATGGAGGCCCTGGGGTTGGGTGTGTGGGTGGGTGTTGAATGTCCTCAGAGCTCCTATCATAGCTCTAATCTCTTCACACAGTAATTATATATTTGTTATTCCTCTCTCCTAACCCTGAAGGGAGATTATATCTATATCTCCAGGTCCCACGTTAGTACTGGGGTAAAGCCCTGAGCAGGAATGAACCAGTCTAATATGAACAGCACATGCTCAGAACATTCCTTGCTCTTCTGGACCTAGACTTAGATGGGCCTCTTGAGTAGCCCAGGAATCACCGAGATACCAAGATCTTTGCAAGGAGCTTGTCTTTGTCCCATTCTCCCAGGGGCTTTTGTGAGTTGTAAGAGATGTGCTGAGGTCGGGGGTGTAATTGGCTTCTCCCAACTCCCTTTCTTAATCATGCCCGAGGTAAACATGACTGATTTCTCAAGATTCCAAGATATGGTGACTTGGGCCATCCCATGTCTCACTAGGAAAGGCAAACTCTTTGAGGTGGAGCCAAAATTAAAAACAGGTTCTTTTGACAGTGTCACTTCCTTTATGTGGTCATTGACTCCGTGTCACAATACCTCTCAGGTTCATGGTGTGTACAGGCACGCAGAAGTCAAGGGGCCATTCCTCTGTTAATGCTCAATGTCCATCAGGGACCAACCCTGGCCCCTCTGATTTAATAGAAGTCCTCAAGAAAGCAGTATCTGCGCCGGCTAGTGGAGACAAAGGCACAGCCCAGAGGCGCGCGCGGGGCGGAGGGTGTGTGTGTGTGTGTGTGTGTGTGTGTGTGTGTGTGTGTGTGTGTGTGTGTGTGTGTGTGTGTGTGTGTGTGTGTGTGTAGGGGGACGGGGCGGAGGGTGTGTGTGTGTGTGTGTGTGCGCGCGCGCGCGGGGCGGAGGGTGTGTGTGTGTGTGTGTGTGTGTGTGGCGGGGGACGGGGAGGGCGACGACATGTTTCTTTCAGCCCCACCTCAATTTACCGAGAAGCTCGAACCAATTCCTGACCCTCTCAAGATTTCGCCATTGAAGTTGGTATGGAGGGATGCAGGAATGAGTGGTGTATAAGTAACCCCGACGTGGTCTGATGCATCTTCTTCAGGACACCCATAACCCTAGCGCTCTACTGCCCCTTCCTCGACGTGAGTCCCGCCCAATGGGGAAAGGGATGGCCTCCCATTGGCCTATGGTGGGCTCCCAATCTAGTTAGACAACGCAATTGGCCCTACACTCCGTTTAGAAATTGCGGAAGAAATAGACTAACTACAACTCCCGAGAGGGAGCAGGGCTCTACAGCTCCTTGTCACGTGACTTCCTCCTTGCAGAGGAGTCACGCGATAGGCCGGCGAGGAGGCGGGGCCCATGACTGTCAGCGGAGCCAGCGGCCTATGGGCCGCCCCGTCGGATGGGAGCGCGGCGGGGGGCGGGGCGGGGTTGGGCGCGCTGCAGGGCGCGGGAGCGCGCCGGCGGCGGTGGCGGCAGCGGAGTCGTCCGTGGGAGGGGGGGCGGGGAGCCTTGGTTGAGGCGACCGTGGCTGTTAGGCACCCTCGACTGGCGGCGGTGGCGGCTCCTGGTGCGGCGGGGCGCTCGGCCAGCTTTCTAGGTCGGAACGGAACGCTCCGCTTCGCGGGCCCCGCCCGGAAAGTTTGCAGTGGAGCCGCGACCTCCTGGCCGGCGCGGCCCAGCATGAAGCGGCGCTGAGGAGCCGCCGCGGCCGCCTGAGGAGGAGCCGCAGCACCCGGGGCCACGCCGATGACTACTGCAAACTGTGGCGCCCACGACGAGCTCGACTTCAAACTCGTCTTTGGCGAGGACGGGGCACCAGCGCCGGTGTCCCAGGTCTCGCGGCCTGCAGGTGGGTGCCGGGCCAGCCTGGACTGTGGAGCGTGCCCTCCCCGTGCTCCCGCCGGCTGGCCTTTCCCGGGTCCCCCTGGTGCGTGCGTGTGGCGAGTGAAGCCTGATTTAATTTGAGGAGGAGGAGGAGGAGGAGGAGGAGGCGTGTGGCTCTCGCAGACGTGGAAGTGGCTTGATTGGAAGCTAAGTCGTAGGAACTTGACTCCGGGAGGCCAGTGGCCCGTGGCCCGTGGACGCCCGGAGTTTGGAGGCAGAGGGTTGGGGCCAAAGCCCCAAGAGGTTTCTTGCTGTCGCTGTGTGCCAGCGTGGTGCTGAGGAAACGTCCCGGTGAAGCAAGCCGAAGCGCGCATAGCTGTTTTTAGTTTGCTCGTGAAATTCTTTATTTGAAAGATGCGTACTCTTGTAGTGTAGGAACCTTTTTAAATTAGTATATTTTCTTAAATCTACTTTGCTAGGAAAGCAACACATTCGAGAAATTGTTCAGTTTTGCAAATTTATGTTCTACACTTAATTTCAGGTATACTATAACGGACTTTGCTGAAAACCGGGTTGTTTTACTTGAGCAAAGTGTTTCTGGAGATTTTTCTTTTTTCTTTTTCTTTTTTTTTTTTTTTTAAGTTAGGATGTTTTTTTTTTTTTAAGTTCCCTAGAATGTTCTAGAAGTCAACTTTTGTTTTAAGCTTTTCTCAGAAGTTTTTTTTTTTTTTTTTTTTTTTCTTTAAACGAGATCTTAGGTTGGGAAAGCCCGGCACCATAATGCTTGCAGGTCAGACCAGTCAGGAAATAGAAACAGGATGATGGCTGGGGACTTAAACGCTCTCCTGTGACCTGCTTTGGAATAGTGTGGTTCATTAAGTTCAGTTTCCCTATTACATATGTAACAGAACTTAGAAAAGAAGATGTGTAAGAGTATCTCTGTTTATCTTTTCCAGTATTAGTGGGTTACTTACTGTTGTATTAGTGAGTTAACTTACTGTTGTTCGTATTATATTGAAGTCCAGTAGATTGTTTTCCCAGAGTTGCCTTGAAAGAATTTTTTGTAAGCTGAGTCTCTAGGTGGTACAATGCCTATTTTATTAGTTCCTTTTTAGCCTTTATATGTTAGATGCCTTTTTCAGTGTAAGAAATAATTATAGTAGTTAAGTGTTGGCTATGTTTATTTTCAGTTCCATTAGAGTTAATTGAACCAGGCTTATGTTGAAGATACTACTGGATACTTAGTTGTGTAGTGTTGTTACATTGATGCAAAAAGTCCCGGGCTTCTGAAGGAAGTTGTGAAATAGATGAAAGAAACACATAGCCCAAATAGCTTTATTATTAGGCAAACTGAATTTTGTCTAAATTTTATAGATAAAAGAAACAGAAAAAGTGGGGCTATGAAGAGGATGGCATTGAATTGTATTTAGATTATGGAGATTGAAAAAAAATGAAAACTTGTTTGAGTGAGTTTTTAGGAAGAAAGTTTGTAACTTGATTTGTAATTGGAATTCCCAGAGGTAGACATGAACAATTTTATTTTTATTTATTTTTTTCAGAAGCCCACTTTAAAATGTTCTGGGAGGTTTTTCTTCCTCTCTTTTTTTTTTCTTTCATTTTTTTTTCTATCATTTCTTAGTCTCTAGTTCCCAGTGGTCTCCTGCCTCATCTTCCAACTGCTGGGATTGGAAGCATGTGCCAACATATTCAGTGGTCATTTTCTTAAAAATATGTTTCCAGCTGGTCAGTGGTGGCACATACCTTTGATCCCCAGCACTTGGAAGGCACTCAGCTGATCTCTGTGAGTTCGAGGCCAGCCTGGTCTACAAAGTGAGTTCCAGGGCAGTCAGGGCTGTTACAAAGAGAAACCTGTCTTGAAGAAAAAAATATTTCACAATATGGTGAAATTCATATAAAAAAAAACTTTTTGCTTTTGTATTTTATTGAGACATTGTTTCTTTATGTATCACTGGCTGGCCTAGAACTCACTATATAGCCCAGGCTGATCTCAAAACGGAAGCATTCTTCCTGGTTCAGCCTCTGAGACTACTGGGATAACTGAAGTGAGACACCACTCTCAGCTGTTTTAACACAATTGTTGATTTTTAATGAGTAAATGCCACTTAAATTTTGAATCAATTCTTTTTTATGGTAATTAGTACTGTTCTGGTTCTTTGGCTGATTAGTCAGTTCCATAAAATAGTAAATCTTGGTAATTTTGGCCTACATTGGTTCTACCTTTGAGAATAGATAGAGCACATTGAAATTTCCACAGTGAAAAGTTTTTGAAAAATCCTTTGTGGAGGCTGAACATAGTGGAAACACCTTGACTCCCCAGCACTTGGGAAGCAAAGATAGGTGGAGATCTCTTTGAGTTCAAGGCCAGCCTGATCTACATAGAGAGTTTCAGGACAGCTTTTTTTTTTTTTTTTTTTTTTTTTAAATCAAACTATTTTGTTAAACTTTTTCCTAGTATCATCTAGCTTTAAACTGATCATATATCCCAGTAAAAAGAGCAGCTTCTAGTACTCGAGTTTATTGTTTGCAGCTCTCTAGTTTAGTTTGCTGTTATAATTGTTATCTTAAAATTCAGTTTCTTTTGTGTGTGTGTGTGTGTGTGCTTGCTTGCATGTGTGGGTGGGAACGTATAGTGTGTAAGTTACAGGTTATCCTCAGGTGTCATTCTCAGACAAGCTGACCATCTGTTTTGACATAGGGTCTTTTCATTGGTCTGGAGCTTACCAATTAGACATGTCTATCTAGTGAACCCTAGGGATCCTTGTGTCTCTGCCCTCTCAATGCTGAGGTTACAAACCTGTATCACCACACCCAGCATTTTTACATAGTTTCTAGGAATCAAACTTAGGTCCTTATACTTGTGATGCAAGTACTTTACCTACTGAATTCTCTCTCCATCCTATTCATTTAGACAAGATCTTCTTAGAGTCCTAGCTGTCCTCTCACTATGTACTAGAGGATGACCTTGGAACCATCTCATGTGATCTTCCTATTTCTACTTCCCAAATGGTAGAATTATAGGCATGCCTTAACACATGTGCCTATCTTTCAATTTCTATTTATTTGAGTCAAGGTTCTACAAAACATATGCTTAAACTCACTCCAAGTTTGTGTGTGTGTGTGTGTGTGTGTGTATCCATGTGCACACATGGAGGCCAGAGGAGGAAGTGCAATGTTCTGCTTTTAAACTGTTTTATTCCCTTGAAGACAGGCTCTTTCACTGAGCCTGTCTCTACTTCCCATCTTGCGGCAGTTATAGACAGTTGTGAACCACCCATTGTGGGTCCTCATAATTGTTGAGCTATCTTTCTAGCCTCAAATTTTATTAAATATTTTTAGTTCAAAATGAGAATGAACAGAAGAAATTCATGCTACATTATAATGTTTTATCTACTGCTGTTTTTGAAGGAAGAAATATCTTTGCCTTATAATGTTTTTTGCAAGAAATTTACATAATCCCCTCAAATATTAATAGCCCAGGCTATTCTCAAACTCATGGTAGTTTCCCTGTTTTAGCTACCCCTACTACACAGGTTTTTCATGTGTAAATTTGGTTTTTTTCCTACAGACCCTTTGGCTATAATTTACTTTTTTTTTTTTAACTTTGTCTAGTGTTCAGTCAGTACTGTCAATATAATTTACTATCTCTTTGATAAATTATCTTGTAATGTTCCAGTCTACAGAGAGAGTTCCAGGACAAGCTCCAAAGCAATACAGAGAAACCCTGTCTTGAAAAACAAAACAAACAAGCAAACAAAATTGATCTATCTGGGCAGTGGTGGCACTCACCTTTAATCCCAGCACTTAGGAGGCAGAGGCAGGTAGATCTCTGAGTTCCAGGACAGTCAGGCCTACACAGAAAAATCCTGCCTTAAGCTAACTAACCAAATAAACAGATGAACAAACAACAACAAAAAAGTTGGCTGACCAAATAAATAAACAAATAAATAAATAGACAAATTCAGTTAATGTCAGGCATGATGATGTATACCTGTAATCCTAGCACTTGGATAGTGGAGGCAGGGAATTAGGAATTCAAGATAAGCCTGTAATTATTAGATAAAAAGTTTGAGGCCATTCTAGGCTACCTGAAATTCTGTTTCCAGAAACCAGTAATATGAGGACTGGAAAGATGTACATGGCAGTTAAAAGACTTGCAGTGCAAGTCTGATGACCTGAGTTTAAACCCTGAACTCCCTGTAAAGATATAAGGAAAAAACTGATTCCCAAGGTTCTGATCTCCATTGTGCATGCTGTGACATGCACATGCCTACACTAACGCATCATACATACACACATACAATAATTTTCAAAAGAATTTAAGAAACCAATAAAACAACAAAAAAACCTTGTGTTCATCTTTAATTTTTTTTTAATATTTATTTTGTGTCTGCATGCATGGCTGCAGCTTGTGTGTAGAAGACTTGAAGACAACTTGAGGTAGTTAGTGCTCTCCTATTCTGTGAGCTCCAGGAATTGAACTCAGGTTGTATAGGCTTGGAGGCAAGCACTTTTACTTGCTGAGATATCTGACTGACCTTCATTCTTTTGTTTTTATCACATTGTGTTTTGGAACTGGGCCTTGGGTTTGTGTATGTGTGGTTTTTGTTTGTTAGTTTGTTTTGCCTGCCAATATTGTAGGGAGATATATATATATATATATATATATATATATATATATATATATATATATATTTATTTCTAAAAATGCATCTATAATAGTACTGCTACTGATTTTACTAAAGTCTGCCATACAATTTAAAATTGTACCAGTCTTCAGAGAGCTTTGTTCTTATAGCTCCAACCTTCCAGAGATAGGTGAAAATGGTTCTGTAAAGTATTTTACAATGAGAGTAGATGGGTTCCTGGAAATAGTAACTTTTTCAGTAGTTAAAAAGATAGAAAGGCCCCACCTGTGTTAATTTTAGAGTAGTCTTCATTACCTGCTGTTTCTCTGTGGAAGTTAGAACATGCCCTATCCTTTATTGTCTTGAGGCTTCTGATTAA